ATAAATTACATTCTCTCTTTTTCACATCAACATGTCATAAATATACAAAATAAGCATAAATACAAACAAGTACTTAAGTACATTTGCAGGAACTTAATAGTTAAGTGTCATACCCCAAAGCACGGTTTTCATTGACAGTTATGAATGCAACTAGCGTTTACACGACATTGAGCAATTGCAATGCGTTTCATGTTTGTGAATATAAATAAAATACCATAACAAAACACACATAATTCGTTATTTTACGTTTTGTGTCTGCTATAATATATGGCCGACATAATTAATACAAATGTCAAGTACAAATGAAATTGTGGTGGGGTATATAGACTTTGGCACAAGAAATCAGGAACCTTTATATTTCAGTCATTTGAAAAACAAAATAAAAAAAAGCACATTTGTGCCGTATTTTTAAATATATAAACATTATAGCACCATTGTCATAATAATACTAGATTAATACACAAAGTCGTTTCCGTGTTCCAATCGCCGTTTCACACAGTTGGACGTCGTTCCTAGGCTAGTAGAAGAGTCACTCCTTGGCTCCAACCGATGGCGGTATAGTGGCCACCCTCAAACTGGGAGACACCAATCCTCGCGGGTCGCAAGGGTTCATCACTACGCCCTCACCATACGACACACACAGATAGACCCAGCCGGAGCACAGCACGTCATTCTCCGCCTCCGGCGTGTTCTCCCTGCCGCTGTAGACGACGGTGGAGTAGTTGATGGAGAGCCCCTTCACGCTCTCGGCTATGCGCCTCTCCATTTGCTTCCAGGCCATTACGTCGGGCAGCTCCTTGCACGACGAGCCTCTGCGCAGGGCGGCTGCGCGGCAGGGCTGGAGCGCCGACAGGACGACCACCGCCACCGCCACCGAGACAACAGCCGCGGAAGAAGTCATGGTCATTGTGCGAGCTGGTACGAGGACAAGCACGGGCGAGCTGAGTCGTTAGCGGCTACTCTCACCTCGAGATCAGTGGCGGGCGTGCAGCGCTGCAGGAACTTTTATACGTTGCCCCCACCGCCGGCTGAGCGGTCGAGGGGCCAGTGCGCTTCCCATCGAGGAATCGGGCCCCGCCATCAGGCCGCCCACGCGCGTCTTCGGTACGTACGCACGCGTGCCGCGTTTCCTAGATCCGGCCGCAGCGCGATTGGTTGAAGGGGATTGGCAGACGCGTCGCCGCCGCTCGCGTCATGTGGCCACTGGCGGTCAGCAGCTTCCACTTTTACCGCAATGGCATTTCCCTTTCACGTCCCACCACTACCACTATTACTACTCTACTACTACCAGTATATTTGTTATTATTATTGTTGTTGTTGTTATTATTGTTATTATTATTATGACTTTCAGTTTTCTTATTTTACAATAATCTCACAGCTCTATCAAGGCGTGAAAGCATTTTGCTTTCAAATAAATATAAGACGTATTAGTCCGGACAAATAAGACAAATTGAGTAAACAAATCCCCAAATTTGGCATATTTGGCATTATGGTACATACCGCGCATTATAATAAATGTGTGTGTGTGTGTGTGTGTGTGTGTGTGTGTGTGTGTGTGTGTGTGCGCGCGCGCGCCTCTACAAGCAAAGAGAGTTCAACAAAACGTGCGCATAGTGAAGCTTCATTTATGGCTAGAAGCAAAACAAGGGACTATCTCAATGGATTAGGGAAACTGGACAAAATGCTCATCGAGATGGGAGTCATTGACTCAGAAGCTGAAGTACATAACTTGTTACAAGTACATTAGATGTTCTTTAAAATTATACAATACAAATGTGAACTAATGCATTATATATCATTGTTGTGTTAAAATAAACATTATTTTTCTTTTTGATTATCTGTATAGACTCTAATTGTAAAAAAACCGTTGTGCAGCAAAAAATATTTTACTTTTAACTTAAATTTGTGTACCGACTTTAATTGTTTTATGTCAGCCACAATTGCGTTGTGAAGTAACCGACGTGTCTTGAATGCGGATTTCATGTAGCGAGACGTTGATACTGACAAATGTGATTTCTACGACGTGTGTTGTAATTATAACTACCAGTATGGTATTCCCACCGTTAAGTAAGTCAGTTTTGACAACAATTACAGAAAATTCAGAGAAATTATTCCTGTTGTAAAGGAGAAATGATCTATGAGATATGCGAAAATATTCAGTGAGCAGATCCTTCAAACCCGATTGAAACGGTCCTTTGTCACACATTCTGCAATTGTTAATTATTAATGGGGCACTTTATTTCTAGGATTCATTTTTTGAATTTCTTCTTTCATACTTACAACATTTTTCTATTCACTGAATTCGTAAACGCAAATGTTTTAATTGATTAGATTGATCAATATGTTGTAATATTTTTTTAGTTGAACCGAAAGGTCACTTAAAAATATTTTTTTTTCAACACCTTCAATACGTTTCTAATTTAATCTACACAAAGGTTTTCCTGTAATTTTTGGCAAAATTTACAAAACTGAAAAATTTTTCATAATAATATACATTCGACATTCCAAAAACTATATTAATCTACTTCTTTCCCGAAAACATATAAAATTGGAAAATAGTTATAACTCCGTTGTTGTGACGTTTGAATAAAAGTTAGTGAATCGTAGTGTGGGATTGAGTCCCTTTGAGATTCTTGGGGGAAAATTTCTTCCCCAACGGGTATTGTCCTGGCATGGTATCTGGAAGGTTTGATAAAAAAGAAATGAGCGATTAATTACAACAAAAGATGTATTCAAAGACCTCTGTCGCCAAATGTTCACTTGTAATGTGTTCACTGAGTACGCGATCATGCATATTGTAGTGTAGATCGGAAAAATACCGTTCTAATTAATGCGCGTCAACATACTCACACGACCAACTTTAAAAGAAAGCTGCAAAGAATGGCGGCAGCACGCAACAGAAATAGAGGTAATCACATACACAGAGTAAAATATCTCGCAATTTAAATTACACGCCGTTCCTATCATAGTTAGTGCGTCACTCATTTCGTAATATTTTACAAGTATTTTTAACTTTAATTCCTCATAACTGGTCATTATTTCTTCTTATTATCTTTCGAACGGTAGCATTAAC